GCAGACTAGTGGGAAAATTCCTAGGCCCATCTGCAGATGAAACATGTTTGACATTTCTTTTCAGCTAAACCCAGAGCTGAACAGAAAGCAGACTCATCTAGGCTTTCAAAGTGGTGACAACAGATTCCTGGGTATGAGTGAGCACACTGCTGATTTTTGGGAGATTGAAAATGAAAGAGGTAGACTAGGAACTTCAGTTCCATGCTTGTAGAGGTAAGGAGCAAAACCACTCAAACAACAATCCCAGCAGTCTGGAAATTTCTCTTCTGGCTCTACACATTGTATCTAACAGACACAGCTTAAGAGCAGGAGTTTCTCAGAGAAGCTGGCTAAGAATCAAGTTGCTACGCACACAGCAAAGTGAAATCAGAAAGCTGGCCCAGGAAATCAGCAGGTCAGGGTGATCAACTGATTATAATACAATTGAAATAAATCTTGAGCCTCAGCAGGAATGCTTCATGTGATCAGGCAAACCCCTGGAAACCAGACAAGTATAAAAAGAGAAAATTGTAGAATGGCTCATTGAATTTTAAATTTCCTTAGATACAAACACAGCTGCATATTCTAAACTGCTATTCCACCCCTAGGATAAACCAGTTATCTATACAGGACAATCCACCCCATCAGACTTGCAAAGAGGGGCAGTATAAGAATGACAAAAAATCTGCATCATTTTGTTTGCATTCAGGCAGGAAAGAGACTACTTAACCATTCAAGATAACTCTTTTAATGCTGACAGGAGCTCTGCCTTAGTCTTTTTGGGCCCAAAATTAAAATGAAAATTTAAATGAGAAGTGTGATTCTACAAAAAGTCCCAAGCAGCTGCAAGGACACACAAAAGGATGAGAATCCCACCCCACGGGCTGGAATGAACTGCATCATCCTTGCTTCTATTGCAACCATACGAACATACTGAAGTATTATCATGTCTACTGCACTGCTGCAGAGTAACTGAGGGGCTCAGAGGTGACTCATTCACCTACTTGAATAGTTTTGGTGATTTTCACAGCTGGATTTACTGTCCCCATAGCTGGGCTGATAGCAGCTGGAGTGCTCCTTTTTAAGCTGATCTTCTCTCTGGCATCCACCACTTTGGTCACCTTTTCAGCAGCCACACTTTGCTGCTTGCGGGAATTCAACATCTCCCGAGCATCCTGCACCTTCCCTTTGATTTTGAAGCGAGCGTCCTTTTGAAGCAGTTTTTCTCGGGCATCCTTCACCCCCAGTTTGTGCCTGGCATCAGTGAGTCCTATCTTCTGTCGGGCATCAAAAGTCTGCTGGAAGCTCACAGCTGGTGATGATCTATTCAGAAGATTTTGCTGGATCCCAATGCGAGATCTTACACCTCCAAACACTGGCCGTGTGTTAAGTCTGAGGGGGGAAAGAAAGAGAAAAACAAAAAGAAAGTTTCAGGCATTATGTGTCAATACAGTGTCAATAAAAGTATTTGTGTTGCTGCAAACAAAAGTTCATTATTACTGCACAAAAATCCACTCCAGCTGGACATCCAAATACAACAGTAGAACTCCTAAGCTCTTTTATGCTGGACTTTTTTTCCTACACAATCAGCTAAGGAACTTATTTCCAAAATCCACCCTTCAGCTCACATTTACAAACTAAAGGGTCTGAGCTCAGCTGTGCTAAGTACATACTACATTTACACAAAATTCAACAACTCAGGTACTTTGGGGCAACCTTTGAGGAACAGGAACAGACTTTCCAGCTTTAGGAGTGAACAGGTCTGCTAAAGCATCTTCCATAATTCACTAATACATCCTGATATGAAGGAAACATGCAACCACACATGAATTCAAGAATTCTGGGCAGCAAGTTGAGATCTGTGGGAGGACAGCAACTCAAATTTTAGTATGTACAAGCACCAGTAACAATCTTAGTTCAAAGCCACCAGTTTCAAGGTTGATTAGCTTCCAGCAAGAATAGTCGTTAGTCAAATTACTTTTTAACATGGCTGCCTCTTCTTTAATCTAATAAAAGAACTACTGCACTTGATGGCCTTTACTTATTAAGCATATCATTATTGCAATACTGAACACAGAAAGACAATAGCCCACAAAAACAACAGCATTTGTACTTGTAGACAAGTATTCCTAAAAAGCAGCACAACACAGGGTGAAAACCAGAACTACCTTCTTGTTATAGGTCTGATACACTTTTTCAAAACCTGCCCAAAGAACAAAATAAAATTATCTAATTTCTTAATGGAGTTCCTCTGATGAATATTTTTAAAGTTTTTTCTTTTTCACTGGGTTTCTTCATATTAAAAAAAAAGAGAGAAAAAATATTCTTGCTGTTGACTTTTTAAAAGTCAAAATACAGGGCTACAAAGTTCATCTGCTTCCAGAAATGTGTTGTCCAGTATTACAAAGTCTAAAAGCAGATACCTGGAATTTGTTGTAATAATCAAAAAGTTAGTATCACAAACCCAAATTATGGTGCTATTTCAATTCTTCATGCACCCTTATATTCTTATTTCCTGATCTAACTCCACAATCTTCACATTATTTACAGCCATGTATTTTCAATTGAGAGATCTTTACAAAAAACCCCAACCAGCTGAGAGATGAAAGACTTAACCTCTGCTTCTGCCTCTTGCATTCTTGTGTCTCAATATCTGGAAAGCTGGGACTGGAGCCCCATTTTATTACCTAAGAGTCCTATGGCTGCTCTCTCCAACAGGCAAAGCAAACCAGCTAGAAGAAACTGGAGGATTATTAAGACCATCTATGAAAATAAACTCAGAGCACAGGAACCTAACAATACCATAAAGCAACAGAGACAGAGCAAGACTTTCCTTGCAATTTTAAGAAACATTTATTTAGCCATGTTGGAAGCATTCAGCTGGAGTACTGCAAAGGGCTGGATGAGTGGTTCATGAGAGAGGCCAAAGTAAAACCAGAAATGTATGTGACAACATTTAAACTAGAATTAGTTAAGACTGTTGATAACAAAACTCAACAAAATAGCTTAAGAAACTGAAGATTACACCATTTCTGGTGTCTTTACCCTAATAAGCAACTCTCTTTCACAGATAATTGCTTACCCTTCAAGAGCATTAACTGCTTAGCTATTTGTGCCACAGCACCTGAAATAAAAGCAGATCTCAAACATCTAATTCACTTTCCAGGAGTCCAAGCTCTGGCTTGAACGTGTTATGGACCAGCACATTTTATTAGTGAATTTTTTTCTTTTATTTCATCTAGACTACTGAATAGCACAGATATAATGACTTAACTTTATTCAGTTTATCCAGACTTCACAAAGCCAAGTTTGCTACCTCACGAATTTATAAAGTGAGCTAAACACAACATACAAGAAGAGTGTGGGACACAACAATTCTTACAGTGCTGCAGAGGGATTATTGCTCAGCAAAAAAAAAAGAAAAAAGCAGGAAGAATTCCTGGAAGAAATGAGAGTTAAGGAGGGATTTGAAAAGGGATAAAGTAGGTACTTGGGGCATAGTAAGCAGACTAAGACTCTTCCAAATATGCAGGATAACATGAATGAAAGTGCAAAGCCAAGGCTTTGTCTAGACTAGGATTTAAATATGTTTGAATGTTTTGGTAGTATATGTTAGCAGATAACTTTCAGAATATTACTCTAGACATGTAAGTGTATACACATCCAGAGTCAAAAACGAAGACTAATAAACTAAAAAAAAGAAAACTGAAAGGAAAAAATCCAACAAAACAAGAGCACACTGAGCTAACAGAAGGGGAACAAGTTCTTCAGAAGCATTACGAGACTACGGCAAAAGGGAAAATGAAAAGCTACCGAAGGAGAACCCAGGTAAGAACTGCCAACTGTGGAAGCAAATGGCCCAGCCTACACTGGAGACATCTGCCATGCAAAGAAATACCCTGACCTTGCAGCTCCGATCTGCAACATGCTCCACGTCCTCTCAGCCACTGCAGGCAGTCGCTCGGAGCCCCACTGACTACGCTGGAGGGACGACACCTTCCGAGAGCCGGGCAGCGCTGCGCCCCATGCCCGGCAGCCTCCCCCGCGCGGCGCCCGGCGGCCCCGGTCGGTTACGGCTCCCCGAGCACCAGCAGCCCTGCCACGGCTCTCCCACAATGCCCCGAGCCGCGCCCGGGAGCGCGGGGGCACCGGGCACCGCCTGGGTAACACCTGCGGCACGCTACCGGCGGGGTTTGGGGAGCCCACCCCGCTACAGGGAGCAGCGCTGGGTTAATCGGCGGGGACAAGCAGAAGGCAAGTCGGAAGGTTCAGCGAGAAAAGGGACGGCGCCAGGAGTCCCGAGAGGACCAGAAGGGGATGGGCCGCTGAGCGCTCCTGCCCCACCGGGGCAGCGCCAGGCACGGGGGCCGAGATGGGGGCCCGACCCCCGCCCCGGCCCTGAGTGACGGCCACCGCCGCCAATCGCACGGCAGCGCGGTCCCGCAGGCCCGCGGCTCAGCCAATGGGAACGCGAGGGCGGGAGCAGGGCCGGGCCGCGCCGAGACAGCTGCGGCCCGCAGCCCCCGGAGCGGAGCCACCCGAAAGGACCCTCGAAGAGCGGCCGGGGGCCGCCAGCCCGAGGCGCTGCGTGGCCGCCCGAACCGCTCACCTCCCCTTCACCGTCACACCGCGTTTCCGTATGAGCTCGTCCAGAGACAGGTCCGCCATCTTGTCGCGGCCCCAACGATGAGACGCAGCGAGCGAGTCCCGGAGGTGACACCGCACGACTTCCGCTCCTCGCCCCGCCCCCAGAAGTCCGGCGGGCCCCGCCCGGGCCCCGCCCACTGCGCCGGGGCGCCCCACAACTCCCCGCGGCCGCCGAGTCTCTCATTTGCATACGGCGCGGCACGTCGCGGCTCGGTTCGGCCCGTGGCAGCGGTCCCGCGGCGCGAAAGGGGACAAGGACCGAACGCAGTGGTGAGGCCACTGTATGCCAGCCAAAGGCCGCGTCGGGCGGCGCTCGCCCTGACCTGTGGAGTTAGTGCGGAGCCGTGTCCCAGCGGCGCGGGGCGGTTTAGGTCATGCCTTAAACTTATGAGTAAGGAAAATAACGACCCGGGGTGACGCCCGGGTCCTCACTACCAATGTGAGAGGAATTTTTGTGCGGGTACAGGTCGCCCCTGGGTGCCCCGCTTACTTCGCGGGATGCCCGGGTGCCGTGATCTGCCCGACCTCCGTGGCGCGTGTGCCAAGGACAGAACTGCCGTTCCCGGGGCGCTTTGCGCTGCTCCGGGAGGCGGGACAGCGCCAGCGCCTCACGAGGGCGCGCCGCGAACGGAAATTCCAACCGCCCTGAAGAGCAGAAGTGCCTGAACCTGTGCTATTCTCTTGTCGCTCTGTTCACTGAGGAGCCTTAAAGGGTCTCCACGAGGCCTAATACAATAAACCACCAACCCAGCCTAATAAATACTTCATGTCTCTGCAGGAAGAAATTCCTTTTCTGTTCTTCTGAGGGAGCAATTACACTGTGTAAAATCAAGCTAACAGTGAAAGGGAAATGGTGCCTTGTGCAGCTCGGGCAGCGGTGAGCTCCGAGGCTCCTGCCCTGTCATGACCTGCGCGACGGCGGCTCGGGGTCTCGCTGCGGGCCCTGGTGCTGCCGGGCCTCCCTCAAGGCGCCCTTTTGCAGCATGTCACAGCCGCAGCGGCTCCAAAACGCAGCTTTGCTCCCGCCCGCAGCTCTGGCACGAGGTTCGCTTGCGAGCCCTTCTCCTGCCCCGCTGTTCCCCTTCTGCCCTTTGCCCAGCACGGAATCCTGAGCTGCAGTAGCCCCGGGGCTTTGCCGTGCGTGCTGCAGCACCCATCGTGTTGCTGTGGAACTGGCGGCCCGAACACATCCCGTGAGATCCAGGGGGAAGCTCCTGGACTTCAACAGTGCCGGAGCTGCCAGGGAGGGCTGGGGACCATCACAGAGGCGACATAGCAGCTGATTCAGCTGCTCACAGCCACACAGGCCCAGCCCCCACAGCCCTGATTTCCTCTCAGGAGGCCTTTGTGAGCCTGAAGCCATACCAGCGGTGATGCCAGGTCCCTGCTTGGTTGTGCACTGGTGCTTGATCCAGCTCCAGGGTGGCACACGACTGCAGTGCTACAAATACAGCCCTTTTTGTGCTGCCTTTCTGCAGCTGTTGAGGTACTTGATCAAACTGAGGCAATGGGGTGGGAAATGTGTGATATTTGCTTTGCTGTTGCAAAACCAACAGGCAATGTTTGTTTAAGCAAATTCATTTGACTTTAAGAGCAGCCCAAGTGGTTCCAGACTAGAGGGCCACCTAGCCAGTGTCCTGTTTCCAGCCTGCAAGGACCCCTGTGGAGGTGGCTTCCAGACACCCCACCAACCTTAGTGCTCTTTGTGCAGCCACAATTCCTTCAGGCAGTACCTCCACTCTCTGCTTCTTCTGCATCCTCCTGTTTGTTTTGCTTCCATCAGCCTAGTTCTTGCAACTGAAGCTGAAGAGTGTGTGTGTAGCTGCCACCCACCCTCTCTTCCACCTGTGATCCCTAAAGTCCTCTTTTGTCCAGGTGAAGAATTCCAGGCCTGCTCAGACATTCCTACGGGTGAAGGTGAAGCTCCCTCCCCTCTGCAGGCTTCCACCTTCCCATGTTAAGTCTCTGTGGGAGGCTGATTGGGGGGCATGAGTCATGGTGTTGCAAGAAAGGAAGGGTTTGAACATCTAGATTGTCCTCTCTCTTTCTTTTTCTTACTGTTTTGCTCTTCCTGTAAGACAGAAGCTGTAGCTCAGTTTTCTTCACGGTTTCTTCTCTGAGCTGTGTATGAGAAGTCGAATATTTGTTCCAGGAAGGGCCTGGGCCCCTGCTTCCCTCCTTGTGGCTGGGAGAGGGGTAAATGTGGGGTAAGCAGCAGCATGGCTCCTTGTCCCAGTGTACTGGAAAACTTTCAGGCCTGCCCTTGTTTTCCAGAGGCAAATTCCCTATGTGTGTCTCCTGAATCTGCTGGGATCCCCACAGCATGGAAGTCAGACCAGAGGAGACCATCTTGCACCAATTTCCTGTAAAATATTACTGGAAAAGCAGGACACCCCCAACGAAGGAAGGAATGATGAGGAGGACTCCATGGATATCAGAAAGCTAAATAATTACTTTGTTATACTATATTATTCTATACTATATTACATTCCATCTAAACTGAATCTGCCAAGCACTCAACTGCACAGCATCTCGTGACTGACACATGCACACGCTTGGCCCTGATAGGCCAAGGAAACAAAACCCCATCACTCTGGGTGAACAATCTCCATATTGCATTCCACTGTGGCACAAACACAGGCACAGCAAGTGAGATTTCTGTGAGGTTCAGGGAATGTGAATCCCAGAATATCCTTGGGAAGAATTGTGCCTTGCTTTTCTCTGTGAAGAGAAATGTGTCAACAGTGGTGGAAGTACCTGGTTTGTAGTGAGAGGTTAAAAATCCTCTGATTTTAGCAGTTTGTTCTCTTTTTCAGGACTATTGAACCTTAGGCCTTTTAGCCTTCTGAAGACTTTTAAATCAGTCTTTGAAATATAAGGCCTTGCAAGATGAGTATTTTAGCCTAGCAAAAATGATGTTAAGGAGAGGACACACCAGAGGAGATGCAGAAGTGATGAGCTTCAGAGATAAAACTGATGCACAGCATAGGATCCAGACAGATTCAGGGAGCTACCAAAAAAATAGGCTAAAAATTTTCTAAGCAGGTAACAAAGAGAGCATGGCAGCTTGCCATATGTGTAGTATTATACCTGTATAATCACATGGCACTTGGCTCAGGGTCATGCTGAAACTTCTACTTGGCTGTACAACTTACCTCTCGTTTACCTTCTACGGCCTGGAAAAATGAAATATTATTGCACTGCTCATCTGAGTCTGCAACATTTAAAAAAGCATGAAAAACCAACTATGGTAGTTCTTTCTTTTTGTGAAAGTTGTAGGAAATATGGTACGTAAGTAATTTTACTTCACCTGTTCTATTCCATAATAGATATTTCCAGTAAGGGAGCACACCTGTATCTCAGCTCATGTTGTCAGTGACCTGCAATATGCTTGGGAAATACTAAATCCCTGAGAGAAGCAGAGCAATTTGCTTGCAGAGAGCTGCACAGAAATTTGCCTTTCTTTCTGGGGGCCCATTGAGAAAATCCCAGGGAGTTTGTGCAACCAAGGAAACTGACGGATTAGAAAGAAAAACTGGAGAAAAGGACTTGGCAGGTGTTCAGTCTTGACTGGGTATTGGGTCTTCAAAGAGATAGGAGTAGTTTTTGGTTGTTGTAAAGTTGTTTATTGTATGAATACATCAGCTCTGAAGGTGAAGAGTTTACAGTATTAAAGTTTGTGCTAAAAGCTTTCTGGTATGGAGTCTTGATGTTTTCAGTAGAAGCAGTAGAAGAAGTAGTAGTTAGTAGAAGCAATTAGCACCTTTTTTATCCCAATATAGGGGAACTTTATTCAGAAATAATCTAATCAGCTAAAAACACGATTCTAAAACATTCTTTCTACACCTATCCAAGCTTAATTCTAATGTGTGAAAATAGTGTTAGTCTTTACACAAAATCTACACATACAGTTCTATCTGTTCACACAAACAGTTCTGTCTGTTCTATTTAATAATGTAAGCAATGTTCTGCTATGGTTTTGTTATGTCTGGTGCTAAGTTAGTTTTGTGAAAGGTAGCACTACTGAACTTTAAACTAGGCTTTAGGGTTTTTTAGTAGCTAATACAGTTTCTTAAGGCACTTAAGATATATTTCTCCTTATTTAAAATTAAAACTTACACTCCTACTTCATGTCCGTGTGGTTTAATATATTTTAGTTTCTCTAAAGGTTCCAATTCAATTCCTATATTCCTTTCTCTCTCTGAGGGACTCAGGCTTCTATTCCATGCATTCTAACAGCAGGCACACAGCAGAATTTAAAGTCTTTTTTATTTGGTAATTCTCAAGTTGCTCACAGAATACTGTGTCACACCAAATCACATAAACATGCATTTGCCTCATTGCATCTCCATTATGCCACGGAATACAACTTCTGGATTTCTTTGGTCCAGAGCTGTGGCACATGTGTAGCTGAAGGACTTTGGGAGAGGTAAATTGTAAAGATGTGAGGAAGCAGGGGAATGCTAACAGACAGGTGGCCTTTGTGAGGAGACAATTGGAATAGCTTCAATTTTTAATACAGGTTTGTTAATGATGATTTATCCTAGGTGTCCCAAGTGGGGGATGTCTAACTTACTAGCTCTGAAAAGTAGGCAATTCATGGAGGAAAGAAAAGCAGAGTACCACATAGCAGCTGTTTCATCTTCTTATGGCTAAGTAAGTAATTAGCCTGACTCTCAAGTAATTTTCCTTTGGTCCCAGACTACACCTTTCACAATAACTTTTTCCCCATGTTTCATTATGGGCCACAGAAGTGATGGATTTACCCAGTGCACTACATCTTTCTTGTCCACATGCTCTAGATGCCGGCTCTTTATCCTCCATTCAGCTTTAACTGGTGGATCCTGAAGAAGCAGCAAACAATAAATTTGGCAGCACTGCAGCAGGAACTGTGTTTGATTTTCAGTTCTTATGTGAATGGCAGCTTCCTGAAAATCAAATAAGAACAGTTTTCAAAGCTTTGTAATATTATGCTGATGTATTGTTACATTGCCTCCCCACCCTCATTCTGTGCAGCTGCTCCACAGGAACTAAGCACTCAAGAACTTCACTGGTCAAAGCTGCTGGTGCTGTTTGAGTGGGATATGGAGGACTCCCAGGGCAACTTTAAAAGTTCTTTTATTTATCAGGTCCTGACTTCTGGATTGTGCCAGTGTATTGGAATATGAATCCCAGTATTACCAGTTAGATTGTGCCTGGGCCAGTCTGACCCTCGCTGCCAGGCCAAAGGCGGCATCTGTGGTGCATCACCCCAGAGACACCTTTAGCTTGCTGGTGGTTTCAGCTGGGCTCTAAACAAGTCCAGGCTTGTTAGGAACTCCGTTTACCTCAGGAAGAGGCTTCAAGCGATGGGGAGGAGAAAAAGGAGAGGATTCTGCTGTAGGGTTTAATATCCAGACGTTTATTCCATGGTTACAGAGGTCTGAATCTTAGGAACAGCTCCAACAGAATGCCGGCTGCATGGCCGGACTCACCTTTTAAGCTCAGGGGGAGAGGAGGGGACAGGTGAGCCACCAACCAGGT